GCTGGCAGCGACACACTTTCGGGGCAAAATCATTGTCGCCGGGGGAAATGGTGGTGGAAACGTGGTGGAGATGTTCAGACCACCAGATGCCAGGTGTCCCCGGGGCCAGTGGACAGACTTGGCCGGCATGAAGGAACCCCGCGCGCTTTTCGCTCTTCTCACCTCCACCGACGCCGTCTTTGCTGTCGGTAATGATGCCTCCTTCCTCCTCCTTTGCTCTACACTGACTGCATTCCTCCTCCACTCTCTCGCTCTTGCATGCCATTCCATGTCCTTTTCTGCGTAATCCCTTTTTATGAGGAAGATTAAGACATCCCTAGTGATGGTAACCAGGTGAAAATGTGACTTTGCATGGCGTTTCGACATCCTCGTAAACACAACGAGGTTAGGGCCGATGGTAGTCTGTTTGTAGTGCAAATCGTCTGCTTATTAAAGTAGATTTTACGAGAATTATGTAGCCGAATGGTTAAAGCGTCTTCAGTAGATACTGCGTTCAAAGCTTACTCAGTCTACACCGAGTTTTATTGAAATAATCGTTTTCTAGCTGTATTGTGCAAATCGTATGCTAATTTTTCTATTTTGATATTTATGAAAAAAGAAATTCACTGGAATTTTTCACAATTTGCAGGCTCAGGAAACACGGTGGAGACTTTCACAGCACCAGGCGAGCCAGCTGATGTCAGCAACGACTTGACAGCTTGGAGCTGGTCGTCGAAGAAACTGGAGACTCTTGCATACATCGAAGGAGCTGCAAGCATTCGCATGTAAACTTCTGTGTTTCTTGATGTCCCTTCTGTGACCGGCATGTTAAGAAATAAACTAATTGCAATGTAACCTGTTTTGTCGTTTTCATTGAAGACGTCGAATGGTTGTGGGGTGCCCAACACCTAAGGCAACCGATTAATGGCGTGATTATCTCTGAAGGGAATGAAATGCTTGAACCAGTTATTTTTTACGAGGGAGATGCTCGTTTTCGGGATTAATGCTTGATTATGGAGAGAAATCATTGTCGCCAGCGGGTATGATACTGGAGACGAATTAGATTTAGTGGTGGAGATGTTCTCACTGCCAGGTGTCCCTAGCGGTGTGTGAGTTGCTATCGGCCTTCTCTATTAAGGGAATTCGGCATATGTGATTGTGACCTGATATGTCATGAAACGTTACATTCCTTAGTATTCGGTCGACGGAAAATGTCGGCGGCATGCACGCTGTCTGTCTCCGTAGCAGAAAAGTGATCCGTTTCTTCCTCTGGAAAAGATTTAGCGGTGGGGCTGTCTCGGGATTTATGCTTAGCAAAGATTTCACTGAGCATGACGAGCTCACGTGAATGATGTCAAGGGTATTTAAGAAAACGCATGTTCAAACATAACCCTGGCTTGTGATTTGGTTGCAACCAGAGATACGATTAACTGAATCGGCAATATCTACGTGGGAAGGCCCTGATTCCTCTTGCGTACCGGGTGGACAGTCAGTCATCAGGGGCGCATCTCGAGTTGGTGGCCCCTGGACAGTGAGGCGGCCTGCGAGCCTGCCGAGAGAAAATCGATCGTGCTCGATGGATGACGCAGCTGGCAGATTTCGCCAGATGGCCGAATGCTGAATGCGGGCAGAAGCGCCCCTAGATGACCTTGGCAGCAGGTAGTCAGTGGCGTGCGCAGTCGTTGAGCGTGTACGTACCTGAACAGTGGCAGTGTCCCTAAAACCGCTCAAGCGGCAGATGCGCTGAAAAACATGCTCACGTGAATGATGTCAAGGGTATTTAAGAAAACGCATGTTCAAACATAAACCTGGTTAGTGATTTAGTTGCAACCAGAGATACGATACTTGAAACTTCTAGTGAACATTACTTTCGTTTTAGTGGTCGAGTGATTTTCCTCACAGTAAAATAACACTGTTAAGGAAGCTCCAGTCCTGAAAAATGAAGTGGGTTCGGTCTCCGAAGTTGCTCCTAAGAGAAACGGAAGTCTTTNTGATTGTGACCTGATATGTCATGAAACGTTACATTCCTTAGTATTCGGTCGACAGAAAATGTCGGCGACATGTACGCTGTCTGTCTCCGTAGCAGAAAAGTGATCCGTTTCTTCCTCTGGAAAAGATTTAGCGGTGGGGCTGTCTCGGGATTTATGCGTAGCAAAGATTTCACTGAGCATGACGAGCTCACATGAATGATGTCAAGGGTATTTAAGAAAACGCATGTTCAAACATAAACCTGGTTAGTGATTTAGTTGCAACCAGAGATACGATACTTGAAACTTCTAGTGAACATTACTTTCGTTTTAGTGGTCGAGTGATTTTCCTCACAGTAAAATAACACTGTTAAGGAAGCTCCAGTCCTGAAAAATGAAGTGGGTTCGGTCTCCGAAGTTGCTCCTAAGAGAAACGGAAGTCTTTTGTATACCTACATTATTACCTCCGACGAAGAAGGCGTTATTATTCAGTCATTGTGAATATCGGTAATTTGCGGTCAGAAGCCTTTTTACATTCAAAGTAAAACAAATATGATAGAGTTGTGATTAACAACGAAACACGCCATTCCAAGGTTAAATTAGTGCGCATTCGACAATCTACAGGAGTGTTTCACCGAACATAGTTACACGAAGTCCAGCCAAGTACGATTTAACTGAATGCTCAAGTGCAATACGGGTTTCTAACGTACTTATGGGTTTCATGTTTTTCAAATGCGCGTGTTGATATATTCGCATAAATTAGATATGCATAATCCAGGACAGCAAACCAAGGGTGGGTAAGAGGAGATGCGAAAAATGAAATAATTATTTCTGATTTTAGAACCCTTGTACATATAAACGGTGGACACACTAACATTGAATTTTAAACTAAGCACAGTTACTTACAGTTAAGTGGAGAGTCACGTTGGTCGGCATCCAATGTTAGACGCAACTTGGGATTTCTGGTCGATTAAGTGCATTGTACGCTTTGACAATGGAGAGCCGACCAAGTTCCTCGAAATGTCAGCATTTTAATAAACCTGTTTCGGTGAGCCCATCTTTTTCTTCCTCAAATAATCAACCCGGATATTTCAACTTTGCCAATCTGAACAGATCGGAGTCCGTTTGTCATTAATTGCAAAGGGGCACTCAGCAAATTTCAATACTGCGTCGACTTCAGCCTGCCAGGCAGACCGCGTTTCTAACAAAAAGTCATAGAATCGCCAAAGTCAGTTTTTAGAACCAAGGATTATGTTAGTATTTAAAAAACGGCTAGATGGAGAGCAGTCACAATTTAAACATATCTACTCGGGAAATCGTCAAACGAATTACGAAAAGCTGCAGTGAATGCGTACGTTATCATTATAAACATGCGCATGATAGCCTTGGTATTGCAGCTTATAAAAATTTCACCCTCTGTACGTCCACAACATCAGTCTGTTGCTGTCCTTGATCTAAAAGGGATTGGAGAAACCAAGTGAACATTATTTTCGCTCGAGCGATCGAATGATTCTTCTCACTTCAAAATGGCACTGAGAAGAATGCTTGTCTTCTGAAAAATAAGTGGGTTCAGTCTCCGAAGTGGTTCCTAAGCCTAATTGGTGGTATTCGAACCAACGACAGCAAAGTAAGGCTTTAGTGCAGCCAGCGATCTAGCCACCGGAATTGCGAGGCCCCACCGGAAGACGCGAGTTTAATCACATCTAAATCAAGTTTACCCGTCCGATCTACTTCAACGTCTGAAAACCAAATCTGATACAGTTAGCTATCTGTCCAGGCATATTTTCCTAATTAATACATCTAGAATCCACCAGATGGCTACGGGTCTCGCGAAATTCATAGGTGTTATGGCAGATACGATTAATGTAGCGTCATTCGGTGGAGCCTCTCAGCACGTGTGACTAGAGCGTTGACCGTACTAAAGCTTCCCCTCCTAGGCTCCGAGTATTTCATGTGCGTATCAAAATGACTCGTCTGCGTACTTGAGTTTAATACAGCAATATCGACAATAGTCGGTCAAGCTGCAATAGGCTCGCCTTGCGAGTAAAAATAATGAGATATGGATTCTTGACATAGTTAAACCCTTGCTGTCGTGGGTTCGAATCCCACTGAGACACCGAGGATTTACAGTTCGATCGAGGTGAATACCTGAGTATTTTGGAAATAAATTATGTAAGCTGAAGGGGTTCTCGATTCTGAAGGATAGGCAATTTTAGACTATACAGTGGTTATACATTCAGATGCGGCACAACACTGACATGTCCGGTGAATTCCCCGCGAGCTGGTTGCAAACATGCAGCTCTGTATTTCGTCTAACGAACTTTGCACTCATTGCACTAGGGCTCCTGTCATTATTCAAATACCAAGTGACAGACGCGAGCAGATCACGCCACTCTAGGTGCACCGATTTGCACTAAAATCTACTGATCAGATGAGGAGGGAGGGAGCTGGTTGGGTTGGGTTTCGTATGTGCAGATTGCAGGTACGCCCGCGCTGCGGGTTTATCAGGGTGGGGCATCGATTCCTGCGAAAGAAGAGGATGACGCATTCTCTACTCGATCTTCTTTTCAGTCTCACAGCGTTTGGCGCCCTGAATTACGATAGCCCTTTGCCTAATCTCAATGTAGCCATAGGTGATCCAAATGGTGGTGTGGAATTGTTGTCTTTCAGCGACTGTACGTCAAGCATCGTCTGCTGTAGACTGTGTTGTCGATCAGGGTTTGGCCAAGGCCGGGCAGAATCGCACTGGTTGGAAACTGCACAACCTTCTATGAAGTACAGGCTTATGGTTCGATCTTGGGAAGGCTAAACGACGGTGGCGTAAGTGGCAGAGTGAGAGCGAGAAGGATTAGATCAGATGCTGCATCAGCTCCACGGTGGCATGAAGGCGCGAGTCCCAGACAATGGAACCTGTCAGGAGATGTCAAGGTAAACGACCCAAAGTTAAGCTGAATATTGAGTTGTTGTCCTTGCCTGCTCACCATCTACATACTAGCAAGGAGCTAGCTCAGCGACTAGACTACCCAAAGGTCGCCCCGCCGCCGCTGCCGCTGTCGACTGCGGGATACAAACCAGGCGACAGCCCTGACCGTCTGTGGTCGCGCCCGTCGCCAGCACCAGAACTGTTTCGACGACAACGACGCCGACATCAGCAATCTGCTCGGCGAAAAGAACCGCCTACACAAAGCCTACGTAGACCACTCCACTGATACCAACAGAGCTGTTATCTACCGCAGTCGCCGCCAACTTCAGCAACGACTGCGCGAGATGCAGGACGCCTGGACTGCTCGCAAAGCTGAGGATAACCAAGGGTACGCGGACCGCAACGAGTGGAATACTTTCTTCTCCGCAATCAAAGCTGTCTACGGTCCGCCGACCAAAGGCACCGCTCCTCTCCTCAGCGCCGATGCGAGTACCCTCCTGACCGAGAAGACACCAATTCTACAACGATGGGCCGAACACTTCCAATGCGTCCTCAACCGTCCCTCCACCATCTCCGACACCTCTATCGCCAGCCTGCCCGTAGTGGAGACCAACGCGGACCTCGACCTCCCACCCTTTCCCCAGGAGACCATCAGGGCCATGCAGCAGGTCTCCAGCGGGAAGGCTCCTGCCTCCCACGCGATCCTCGCTGAGAGCTACAAGCACGGTGACCGCCAGCACATCGACAATCTGACTGTGCTCTTCCGGCAGATGGGGCGTCATTGTGAAGTCCCAGAGGGTTTCAAGCACGCCAAAATCGTACAACTCTACATGCGGAAAGGAAACCGCCAGCTCTGCGACAACCACCCAGACATCTCGCTGCTGAACATGGCCGGAAAAATCTTTTCTCGCATCCTCCTCAACCGTCTGAACATCCACCTAGGGGAGGCCTCCTCCCGCAAAGCCAATGCCGCTTTGGCCGTCAACGCGTGGCCACGGACATGAAATTCACCGCCTGCCGACTTCACGAGAAGTGCCAGGATATGCGTTCTCACCTCTACCCTAACTTGCCGATTCTGACGAAAGCCTTCGACACGGTAAATCGTGAAGGACTGTGGAAGATCCTACAGAAACTCGGCTGTCCCGAGCGATTCATTGAGATGGTGCGTCTGATTCACGATGGCGCGAGTCCCGGACAACGTATCTGCCTCAGAGGCATTTCCATTGACCAACGGAGTGAAGCAGGGATGCGTGCTAGCGCCTACCATCTTCAGTCTTATGTTATCTGCCATGCTGATGGACGTATACCGTGATTAACGCCCCGAAATCCGCATCGCCTACAGGACGGACGGTCACCGGAATCGACGGCGGATGCACTTCCAACAGCGTGTGTCCACAATCACTGCCCACGAAGTACTGCTCGCCGACTACTGCGTCCGAAACACCACAACGGAAAAGAACATACAAAGGGGCATGTAGCTTTTCGCTGCCGCGTGCGAGGACCTCGGACTGGTAATCAACACGAAGAAGACGGTGGTGATTCATCGACCGCCAACGAGCACTGCTCCTCCCAACAATGAGCCTCAAATTATCGTGAACCGAACCCAACAGCAAGTGGTGGACAACTTCCCGTACCTGGGAAGTAACCTCTCCCGCAGCAGGTAAATCGACGATGAAGTAGCTCGCCGGATTACCAAGTCCAGTCGAGCCTTCGGCCCCTTTCATAGCACAGATTGGAATCGTCATTTCCATCCTCCTCGTCCTTCTCCTCCTCATCCTCATCCTCATCCTCCTACTCATGCTCTTCCTTCTCCTACTCCTCCACTTCACCGGTGACGGCCGCTCAGGCGAATGTCACGCACACAACAACCGACACCATCCCTACTGCCTCCTACCCCAGCAGTGGGGACCAGGAGTACACCTGCCGTCATTACGACCGAACATTCTCCTCAAACATTGGCCTGATCGGTCACTTGAGAATCCATCGTACAGAGACTGGCGAACAACTGCCTGGAGTATCAGCCTAAACCCACCACTCTTACCTCCACTGTCCAAACTGCCCTCGAACCTTCACGCATCGCAAGGGCCCATTCGGCCACATGCGAAACCAGGAGAGCGGAATTGACCTCTATCCCGACACACCCACCGCATCTACACATCCACAATGCCCAGCCCTACCCTCGCTTAAACGCTCTGCGCGCCCACCACGACGACCACTGCTTCAACCACAACCGATTCATCTGCGGCTGACACCGACATCGAAGACTTTTCATGCCCAAACTGTCCACGCACATTTACCTCACGCATCGGCCTGGTAGGTCACTTGCGAATTTGTTGCACAGAGACTGGCGGGCCAGTGCGTGGAGCACCGACCTATACCCACCACGCTCGTCTCAACTGCCCACATTGCTCTCCCCAATGCAGGGATCGCATGGGCCTATTCGGCCACATGTGCATCCACGACGACCTGCGCTAGACAAACGCCGGCTACACCACACCACAACACACACCCGCCCTGCATCCGACAGGACCACTCACCCTCCGCAAGCACCCAACTGCCACCTCCCACGCAAGTGGGAAGTGTGCATCTCGACTCGGTCCCCATGCGGATATGGCCGCACAGGTGACTTGAGTCTGAGAATATCCCGGCTCGTCAAGCGTCGAGGATAGGAAGGTTGCTGATTGACGCCCATACTCGGTGTAGGGGGTGTCAGCGGTGGGTTCACGTGATGGTCGTAGTGGTCGCTCACTTGCTTGCAGGCGAGACTACGCCTAGCGTCCATTTGCTGGCACCCAACTGTGCGCAGGGTTTGCGGACTCCGCTGGATGGAAGGTCGGATGTAACCTTGCGTCGGCACCGTCGTGACGTGGTCCGTCTCTGCATTCCGCTGGACTGCCGGTGAAGGGATGGAACTCCTACACGACCTCGCCTTGATGCGCCCACCTACGCCGTCGGAGGCCGCAGCTTACGGCGAATTCGAGTCGCTCTCCACTACAAACATAAAGCCGTGGTCCCATAGTGGAGTTCGGCCGAGCCAATCGGCACATGGCAGCCCTATTCAGGGGTGGCAATGCCAGCCCCCACGAGGGGAAGGGCCTAGAAAAGGTGGCTTTAACATTACTGGGCACCACGCCGTCTCCAGGCTAGCCAGGGCCGCAGAAGTCTAAACATGGTTGAAACAATCAAAATCGAAACAACAACAATACCAATAACAACAACAACAGCCATACCCATTCTCCTCATCCTAACTCTTCTTCACATTCCTCCGTCTATTCTTCTGCCTATTCTTCTCCTTCGCCATCTTCTCCTCCACCTCGTTCCCGTCGCCCCACTCGTTGTCACCAGACTGGCAGGGTGAGCCCGCTCACTCTGGCAGCCTGGAATGTTCGTTCCCTTTTAGACAATCCGAGGAGCAACCGACCGGAACGGAGGACGGCGCTATTGGCACGAGAACTGGCGCGCTACAAGGTGGACATCGCCGCACTTAGCGAGACCCGATTCTCCGAACAAGGCCAACTGGAGGAGGGAGGTGCCGGTTACACCTTCTTCTGGAGTGGTCGGTCCAAGGCAGAGAGACGAGACGCGGGTGTTGCCTTCACCATCCGGAACGACATCGTGGGACGACTACCCTGTTTGCCGCAGGGCATCAACAATCGCCTGATGAGCCTCCGTCTGCCTCTCCGGGTTGGGGACAAATTCGCCACCTACATCAGCGCCTACGCCCCGCCGATGAGGTGCCCCGACGCCGCCGCAAGAGACAAGTTCTACGAGGACCTGCACGCCCTCCTGGCGACTGTGTCGAAGGCGGACAAGTTGATTGTACTTGGCGACTTCAACGCCCGCGTCGGCACAGACCATACTGCCTGGAGAGGAATTCTGGGTCCCCACGGTCTCCGCGGCTCCAACGACAATGGTCTGCTGCTGCTCCGCACCTGCGCAGAACACAGCCTCATCCTGACTAACACGTTCTTCTGTCTGCCGGAGCAAGAGAAGGCCGCCTGGAGGCATCCTCGGTCGCGTCAGTGGCACCTGCTGGACTACGTCCTCGTCCGAAGGCGTGACCAGCGGGACGTGCTGGTGACTAAGGCGATCGCGGGTGCTGGTGGGTGGACCGACCATCGCCCCGTCATCTTGAAGATGCGTATTCGCCTACAGCCTGGCAGGAGACCACAAAGTAAGCGACCCCCAGGTAAGCTGAATGTTGCCTTGTTGTCTTTGCCCGCTCACCATCTTCCTTTCAGTAATGAGATAGCTCAACGGCTAGACAACCTTCCAATCTCTGCCGACGAAGCTGCTGCCGAGAATGCCTCCGTGGAGAACCGCTGGTGTCAACTGCGAGACATGGTCCAGGCGACGGCGCTCGCCGTTTTCGGTCGCGCCCCCCGTCAACACCAGGACTGGTTCAACGACAACGACGCCACCATCAGAAATCTACTTGCTGAGAAGAACCGCCTACACAAAGCCTACGTAGATCACCCCACTGATGCCACCAAATGTGCCTTCCACCGCAGTCGCCGCCAGCTTCAGCAACGACTGCGCGAGATGCAGGACGACTGGACTGCTCGCAAAGCTGAGGAGATTCAAGGCTACGCGGACCGCAAAGAATGGAATAACTTCTTCTCTGCGATCATAACTGTCTACGGTCTGCCGACGAAGGGCACTGCTCCTCTCCTCAGTGCCTACGGCAGCACTATCCTGACTGAGAAGACGCAAATTCTACAGCGATGGGCCGAACATTTCCGAGGCGTCCTCAACAGCTTCTCCGCCATCTCCGACGCCGCCATCGAGCGTTTGCCGCAAGTGGAGACCAACGCGGACCTCGACCTTCCGCCATCTCTCCAGGAAACCATCAGGGCCGTGCAGCAGCTCTCCAGCGGGAAAGCACCCGGATCGGACGCCATCCCTGCTAAGGTCTATAAGCACGGAGGTCCCCAACTCATGGATCACCTGACTGCGCTCTTTCAGGAGATGTGGCGTCAAGGCGGAGTCCCACAAGACTTCAAGGACGCAACAATCGTGCACCTATACATGCGAAAAGGCAATCGCCAAATCTGTGACAATCACTGCGGCATCTCCCTGCTGAACATCGCCGGGAAGATCTTCGCTCGCATCCTTCTCAACCGCCTCAATAATCATCTGGAACAGGGCCTTCTGCCGGAAGGCCAGTGCGGCTTCCGTCGTCATCGTGGGACCACGGATATGATCTTCGCCGCCCGTCATCTTCAGGAGAAGTGTCAGGAGATGCGGACCCACCTGTACTCTACATTCCTGGACCTGACGAAAGCCTTCGACACGGTTAATCGTGAAGGACTGTGGAAGATCATGCAGAAATTCGGCTGTCCGGAGCGATTCACTCAGATGGTGCGTCAGCTGCATGACGGTATGATGGCGCGAGTTACGGACAACGGAGCTGTCTCAGAGGCATTCGCAGTGACCAACGGTGTGAAGCAGGGAGGCGTGCCGTCACCAACCCTCTTCAGTCTCATGTTCTCTGCCATGCTGATGGAAGCCTACCGCGACGAACGCCCCGGTATCCGCATCGACTACCGGACGGACGGTCATCTCCTGAATCAACGGCGCATGAACTTCCAATCGCGCGTATCCACAACCACCGTGCACGAACTCCTCTTCGCGGACGACTGCGCCCTGAACACCACCTCGGAAGAGGAGATGCAACGCAGCATGGCCCTGTTCTCCGCCGCCTGCGAGAACTTCGGTCTGGTCATTAACACGCAGAAGACGGTGATGATGCATCAACCGCCACCCAACTTAGCCACAGCCCCCAACGCGCCGCCGCAAATCAACGTGAACGGAACCCAACTGCATCTGATGGATAACTTCCCGTACGTGGGCAGTACCCTCTCCCGCAACACCAAGATCGACGACGAAGTCGCCAACAGCATTTCGAAAGCCATTCTAGCCTTCGGTCGCCTCCAAAGCACAGTTTGGAATCGTCACGGTCTCGAACTGAGCACAAAGCTGAAGATGTACAAGGCCGTCATCCTGCCGACGCTACTGTACGGAGCGGAGACCTGGACGGTGTACACGAGACAGGCACGTCGACTGAACGACTTCCACCTCAGTTGTCTCCGTCGCATCCTGCGGCTGAACTGGCACGATCGCATCCCCGACACTGATGTGCTAGAACGTACGGGAATGCTCAGCATCTACTCCATGCTGAGACAAATGTAGCTGCGCTGGAGTGGCCACCTGGTGCGCATGGACGACGAGCGACTACCCAAACGACTTTTCTACGGAGACGTCGCGACGGGTTCTCGCCGTCAAGGAGGCCAAATTCGCCGTTACAGGGATACTCTGAAGTCCTCCCTGAAGCGTTTGCAAAGCAATCCGACCAACTGGGAAGAGCTTGCCCCCGATCGTCTGACATGGAGGAGAATAGTGAAGACGGGCACAGGTATCCACGAAGGCAACCGCATAGCCGCCGCCAAAGCGAAAGGCGAAGCCCGAAAATCACAACTTCGCCCAGTACGCAACGCCGCCGCACAACCGCTTCCAACGTGTCCTCGATGTCAACGGATATTCCGGGCTCGAATTGGACTTGTTGGACATCTTCGGACCAACTGCGCCTCTCGAACTGCACCAAACATCCCGCCTCTTCCTCCTCCTCTCCGCCGCCAACTAACTCTGACAATTCTCCTGAACCACCGCTTCCACCCCCCTACCTCCTCCTCCTCCACTGCCTCAGCGGCGACCGCTCAGGCGGCCGTTTCGCACATCAACCGCGACACAACAACCAACACCACCCCCAACTCTCCAGATTCCAGTGATGAGGATCAGGATTACACCTGCCCTCCCTGCGACCGCACCTTCACCTCACGCATCGGCCCGGTCGGTCACTTGCGAATCCATCGCACAGAGACTGGTGAACCAGTGCCTGGAGCACCAACCTACACCCACCGCACTCGCCCCCACTGTCCACACTGCCCTCGCACATTCACGCATCGCATGGCACTATTCGGTCACATGCGCATCCACGAGAGCGGAATTGACCGCAGCCTTGACACACCCACGCCGCCGAGCCCCACTCCAAATTCATCACCTAGCGCACCCACCTACCACTCCCCAACCGACATCGACGTCACCGACTCTACCACCCCTTACTCCTCCCCGTCCTCCTCCTCTTCCTCCTCCACTGACAAAACGACGGCCACTCCGGCGTTTGTCGCGACCGCCATCACCACAGCCACACCTGACACAACAACAGGCATAACGCCTGCAACCTCCGTCATGAGAAGTGAGGAACAGGACTAAGCCTGCCCTCACTGTGATCGCACCTTCACCTCACGCATCGGCCTGGTCGGTCACTTGCGAATCCATCGTACAGAGACTGGTGAACCAGTGCCTGGAGCACCAACCTACACCCACCGCACTCGTCTCCACTGTCCACACTGCCCTCGCGCCTTCGCCCGTCGCATGTTCCTATTCGGTCACATGCGCATCCACGAGAGCGGAATTGACCACAATTCCAATACACCAACCACACCCATCATTCCCAGCATCACCCCCGTCCCATCAATCTGTGCCACCACCAACGCCAACTCTGTAGCTGACACTGACACCGCCGCCTTCACATGCCCACACTGTCCACGCACATTCACCTCACGCATCGGCCTGGTCGGTCATTTGCGAATCCATCGTACAGAGACTGGAGAACCAGTGCCTGGAGCCCCAACCTATACCCACCGAGCTCGACTCAACTGCCCACACTGCCCTCGCACTTTCAGGCACCGCATGGGCCTATTCGGTCACATGCGCATCCACGACGACCTGCGGTATACAACCGCCGGTTACACCACACACTCACACACCTCCTACCCTCCTCTACCATCAACAACACACATCAACAGTCACCAACCGCACGCACCAACTGCCACCGTCCACGCAAGTGCGAAGTGTGCATCTCGACTCGGTCCCCATGCGGCTTCGGCTGCACGGGTGACTTGAGTCCGAGACTAACCCGACACGTCAAGCGTCGTGGATAGGAAGGTTGCTGATTGACGCCCGCTCTCGGTTCACGCTGTTCGTCACGTTGTGTGTGTGTGTGTGTGTATGTG